TTTTTTTTTTTTTTTGTTTTTTTTCTTTTTTTTTTTTTTTTTTTTTGGCAGTGGTGTATTGTTTGTAACAAAAGGAACATTTGGACAGCTTACATGTGAGTGGCAGTACAATTTTGATGAATTTACCAAAGAGCCATTCATTGTTCATGGGAGAAGATTGCGCATTGAAGCAAAGGTACGTTGAATAGATTTTTTTTTAACTGGCCACTGAAAAGAACACGTTGAAAAACTTTACTTTTGTAAGTTTCCTCTCTTTTATAGATGTTGCTTTATCTTCCTATCATTTGCCTTTATACCTGCTGTCTTACGCAGGTTTAAAGAAAAAAGAGGGAGGCCAAGAAAAAATATGCTCCTTTATGTGCTTTTACCTCAACAGCCGCATTCCCGGGTCCTTATTTTATATTCAGTAAGAGAACTTGACCTCACTGCTGTCCCGGGGCTAAATGAGAAAGCCTCTTGTATACCTCAGAATCTCTAGCAGCGCCCTATGGAATGTTTTTCCTGGAAAATCTCACAACAGGACACTTGAAAATAACAGCTGACAGTTGGTAGTTCCTTCTCTTTGTATAGATGCTCTTATCTTCCCAGCTCAGGTATAATCTTGAAGGCAGAGACAGGTTCTCTGTTTTGATTACCAGCAGCTAGCACAGTGCCTGCTACTTGGATGTTGATACAAAATACAGTGAAGTTCTAGTCATTTGGTGAATCAGTAGGGACTCACTGTCCAACCTTAGTTGTAGCGATTGCAGATTGCACTGGGTATTCCAAGTACAGCAATACAGTAGGTATATGTGATAAAAGATAATGTATTTGGCCTCAAGGTATTTGACCAGATACCTATGTGTAGGGCCACTTGGGCACTGACTGTATTAGGAAATATTGAGACTTAACCCAAGTATGTTTTTTCTTTGTTATCTATGAAGGATTTAATTGACTCATGTAACTGAAAAGTCTGTAAGTCCACATCTTGTAACTTAGGTATGCTCAAATGATGTCATCAGCAATTATTCCCCTCCCCCCTTCCTCTCCTCCCTTCTCCATTTCACCTCCCCCCCCCATCTCCAGGTTCTGCTTTCTCCAGTGTTGGCTTCATTCTCAAGCAGGCTGTCCTTTGGTGACAGGATGGCCAGCAGGAGTCCCAGGTTTACATCCTGGTGGCTCAGCAGAATGAAAGTTGCTCACTGGGCCACCTTTGGTCACTTGCTTATCCCTGAGTCAATCTCTTTGGTCTGGGGGGCAGGGGTCACCGTGGTGCTACCAAGAAGGAAGGGTCAGCTCTATCTGAAGTATTGGAGTGAGAGAAGGTGAGAAATAGTTACCCAGAGGAGAGCACAAAGTTGTCACTGGAGTAGGAGACATTGGACGCAGGCAGACAGACAGCAGGTAGGTGTCTTCTGGGCTGGCCTCCAGAATAAAACTGCCACAGACCCGTGCTAACCAGTGAGTAGCATTCCTCCAACCTTAACACTCAGTCCAGAGACATGGGGAGAGGGCTGGATATCAGTTCCTGGGGATGTTGGAGCAACTTTTCCCATTGAGAATTTCTCTAATTCAATCAGAAAATGAAAGGCCCTGTGCCCAACCTGTGAAATAAGGGATAGTGGCTGTTAGCTTCTGGTCTAGCCTGTACTGCTTTCCTGCCTTTTTTTTTCTTCATATTTTTTCTCTCTCCAAGGATACACTTCTTATCTCCTTGATTTCTTCCCCTTCTACCTATTCTTGAGACATTGTATTAGCAGCCATCCTTCATAAAAAATTCAAGAATCTGATTTCTCCTGGAGTCTGTTTTTGCATGGATATTGCAATCACAGGGATTGTTAGACTAGTAAAACCCTCCACGTTGCTGCTTCTGCAACCCTGCCCATAGTCAACAGCAGTGAACACCGCCCTCCTCCTCAGGAATTCAGCCTTCCTGTTGTCTCTCTGTTTGGTATCCACTTTAGACAGTTCTCCCCACAAACACTGAACAGGACACTGAAGAAGTATCAAAAGTGGAAGACAGGGCCCACCCTGATTTCTTTGATCCTGAAGCTACGTTCTTGTTCAGTGGTTTAAAATGTTAGAAGTTTTATATATAGATGTATGTGTGTGTATCAGCCCCATAAACACGTGTGTGTGTGTGTATGTATGTGCACACATGTGCGTATTTTTGAGCTGGGACCATCATTCCATGGCCGGATATCAAGAACTGCCTGAGCAGTTTTTTGGAGGGAAAAGCAGTGGCACTTCTCCCAAGTTTACCTCCTTCCTGTCCCCTGTGTAAACCCTTTATGGCTTTAGCTAGGAAATCTCACCTAAAGTTTTTTAACTTAGATTTAGTGATAACAGATGTGTTAGTGTTCAGTCTTTTTTTTTCTTTTCCATTTGTATTTGGTTCTTCTTGGTTTCTCATCCTTGGCTTTTTTAAGGTGTATGATTTGTGTAAAATGGACGATTTAAGCACCGATATCCGCCACTTCTTTATCATATTTCTACAACTGGATTTTCATTTTAATGAAGTCACTTATTCTGTTTATAGGAACGGGTGAAGTCTGTATTCCATGCCAAAGAGTTTGGAAAAATAATTAACTTCAAGACCCCAGAGGATGCTAAGGTAAATATAATGAATCTTTCACATCAACAGATACAGCTTTGCTTTTCAGAGTCTTGAAAGTTGGACTGTTTTTTAAGGTAGACAAGTTTTGTTTGTTTTTAATTATGTTCTTGTGCTTTGACAGTTTTAATATATGTAACTAGATAATATTTCCCCGAAACTACTTTTCATTAGATTGAATTCAACACATTAGATTGTTTTTCATATCAAATGGCTCCATCTAATTTTAAATGCTTTTTTAAAAAGTCAGACAAAAACTATTTCATTCTAATGCTAACCTATCATCTCTAGCAGGGAAAGGATGGCCTCACATTGTAGACTTCTCTGCTGTATAGCTCTGGTGATTTTTAAAAAGTTACTATAGGCTGGCACATAAGGGAAGGAGCCAAGCCTATAGTAAGAAAAATCTGGGTTTGAATATAGATTCTGTTCCTTCTTGACCATAGGACCTTGGGGAAGTCATTTAACCTCAGTTGCCTTCAAATATGAATGATGTGAACTGAAAAGCACTATGCATACTTTAGAGGTTATGGCAGCTACAGTGATGTGTGCTGTCAAGAAAGGGAAGAGTTACAACTGATTACCCGGTTAATCACAGCTAGGATGCTGCTTCTGATGCTGAATTGTACTCACTGTGTCATAAAACTTGTCATAAGAACACAAGGCTCTTTTACTGACTCCCTGGGCCTCCCGCCTTCATGCTGTATCTGTCCTCGCTGGATATGACTACTTACCAGTTCACTTGTCACATGTGGACCCCAAACCAGGAACCTCGGACCATTGCCCACATCTGTGCGATGTTCTACCCAGATGTCGTGCTATAAGGCAACACTGGCATCCTAAGAGCAGAGAACTGAAAGGGAGACAAGTTGCAAAGAAAAAGGAAGGAAGTGACTAGAGCCTCAGCACGCTTGTTGCCTGGAGCAGGGGGCAGCCTGGAGCAAGATAATAGCGTGACTTTCAGGCCATCTCCTTTTGTGCTGCTGAAGAACACCGCAGCCTATTTCAGCTTCTCTGTAATAAACCTTCCATGTAATCTCCATACAATGTTATTTTATCCCAGAAGGTTTGTTCTTAATCCTCTTGCTCTGCCAGAAGCACCCAGAGAGGGCTACTGAGCTCTATTCTCTCTCTCCTTCCCCTAGAGCTGTTCCCCTAGCTGCTGCTTAAGCTAAAGAAGCACAGATATCTCTGCCCACGTGTTTCACAATGGGATAACCCCAGGGTCACCTCTAAGGCTTTTATCTGTCACACAAGCCCAATGACAATAGACATTATTGATAGAAAGATTTGCATTTTATGTTTGTGACTTCAGATCTTTTCAAAATAGAAAATACTATATTATGAGAACACCTAAAATGCTCATGAATGTTGCTATGCTACTCCTACCCACTGTAGAATATATAGTTATTCCTACCCAGTCAGTAGAACCCTGTATATGGAGTCATGAAGGTTTGTGATATAGAATTGGCATAGATTGGAAGGAATTTTGTGTAGGTAATTTTCACACTGAATTTATATATAATATTCAGTCCAGCTGCCAAATTACCCTTCCTCTCAGGATGGTTCATTTTAATTTTCTTATTCTGAAGGTGAACATTCAAGTTCAGTGACCTTAGAAAAACATCATTCTCACTGTTAGATAAAACTCAGTACCACTGACCTGACCGCCTGGGCCATTTAAGTGAGTGAGTGATCTGTTACCAGGATGAATTGGATGGTTGCCTGTGATTGGGCACCTGACTAAACTGGAAGGCCTACGTCTACATTTCCATTCATTGCATTTTGAGTTTCATTGCAAGTCCATAGATGTAAGCAAATATTGGTTTATTTCCTCACAACAGTGGATCCTCACAAAGCTAGAAGAAGCCAGAGAACCTTCCCCGAGCCTCTGATGGAGGGAACACTGCCGGAAGACACAGTGATTAATCGTCGCAGCTTCCACCTCGGACCTTCCAGAACCTGTTGGGGAAGAATAGTACGGAAGTAATTTCAAGTGCGAATATATGTATATATGTATCAGTTAGAATCAGGTAAAACAGCTATTGATTAAAATATTTCAACTCTTTGGGGCTCCATCTGGTTTTCTAACTTGAATCATGCATCGGGTTAAAATTCTAATGATTTTAAAAGAGAAACGTTTCTTTTATAAGTCTTAAATATTTGCTCCAGGTGATTTCTGCAGTGGTGGAGATATTGCCCATGTTTAGCTTTCATATGGAGCGAGGTTTGATGTTCCTAATTTACACTTTGAACTTCTCTCGTGCTCACTTCCAACTCCCTGAATAAGTGATGGGAGTGATCAATCAGTGGTCAAATCAAACATTGCCTCCGTGGTATCAAGAGAATTTTAGTGGTGATTTCTTTAGAAACATGAAGTTCTTTTTACAGAAATATTTTGATATTATTTTCCTTATTTTTATAAAGGATAGGTTTGAACTATACTTCAAATGCACAGCATGAATATAAAAAACAATCTTTTTATATATAATATAATAGAGATTGAACAATACCCTTTCAAGCCTCATCGTAAGAAAGGCTTGAAGAGTGAGTGTTTGTACCCCAAAGGAGAGAGCCCGTCTCAGAACTCTGAAGCCTTAGCAATAGCTCCTCAGGCCGTCTCCATGGCATCTACTTGGCTTAACCAGCCCATGTTTTTAATAGATTGCCAACTTTAAAGGGAAATTCCTGAAGCCTTAGCAATACCAACTTTCCACTCACTGGTAATATGAAATAAACAAAACCTCCACCTTCTTCAATAGGAGTTATGCTTCAGAGCAGAGAGCCCCTCTCACAGCCAGTGTCTCTACCCCAAAGTCTAACCCAGTAGCCTGTCCTGTTGGTAACAGATTGAGAATTTCCAGTTTGCTTTTTCTACAGTTATTCAAATGAGAATCATTCTCTTAAATGTAAAGTGCATCAGAACAGAAATCATTAGTAAAAATAAGACCATGGGTTTTTTTCCTTGGTTTTTTGTTCAGAAACCTTAATATTCATGGGCTTTCTCAAGTGAAAGGAGACGAGTGTATGACTGAGAACCGTGAAGGGAATGAAGCAGTGTCTTAGGTATTAAATAATACAGAGTATTTGATGCATGTTGTATGTGCCATGAAATTGTTATAAACTCTTTTTGGGATTGGAGACTGTATAATAAATGGTTGTGAAAGGGTTCCTCAAACCCTTGCTTTGTTGTAAAAGCTAAAATAAACAGCATGCCAGACTGTAATTATGTTTCTTCCTGACCAAATCCTGCTACTCAATACTATTGATTGTCCTTTGATTATAAAAACACATTGTTTATTATCAGTCGTTTCCCCCAAAATGTTGTGTTTTTTTGCTGAACATAAATTGAATCGAAAGAAGACAGATTCCAAATCACATGATCCTGTGTGCTCCCTTCGTGACCTTTGCTCAGAGGATCACATTTTCTCTGTTGCTGAGCACTTCCAGCGTTACCTGCATTGGAGTGAAACCTAGAAGCAGAGGTAGACAGACAACTCAGCAGGGTGCCCTTGTCCAAAATGTTGCTTTACTGGAGTCCCATTCAGTACCACTGGCCGTTAAGGACCTCATTACCTACTCCAGTTTCATTTTATTCTCAGAAAAAAATACAGGCCCGTGACTCCGTGGGTGTCCCCTGGCAAAGGGCAAAAGCCTGAAGGATGGCAGAGAGATTGTTCTGGTGCCCCCTGGAGCCAGCAGCAGTGGGTGTTTTAACTGCTACGCAGGCAGAGCTCCTGTGCCTCTCCTTCCTCTTCCCTCACCAATAAGAACCTAGAAATGTCTATTCTTATTTTTTCTCTACCATTCATCTACCTGTCAATACCTCTTGCCACTTCTTCTGTTTCTTAAGTAGAAAGACCCAGAATGTCAAGAGCAGTAGTTTTTCAGTTGTCTTAGAAGATTGTCTTCGAGACAGTAGATCAGACGCATCAGTCTTTTTAGGGTTTTGAACACTTTGCAATTATGTATTCGATTCTGTGTTCTTTCTTCTTAAATATTATCGAGGCTGTAATCTTCTTAATTTGAAAGCAGTCTGCCCTGAATTCTGTTTTACTACATTTAATGGCTTTCTGTTTGAGAACTTTAAGCTTGTTTGGTAGTTGCTATGGAACGAGGTCCTGAGTATTACGTCATTTCTTTCTTTGTATTACTTGTTAGCTATATATTCTGGCTCATGAGTGTTGTGCGAAACCCAAGGCAGTGTGTCTGTTTCTTGCCAGCTCTCCTCCAGAAAGCTATGGTCATTAGTAACAGCAACTTGGATTTCTGGTATAAAAAGAAGCTTGTGATTTCCTCACCTTTGCAAAATACTCTCCGAACCGAAGAACATGTGCCCTTCTCCAAAGGCTCCCCCATTTCAGTGTGTGTATCAGTTGCTGCTTCCTGAGCGTCAGCAAGACTGTGGGGTTTTTCTCATCCTAAGTTTAGCACAACTGAGTTATTTTCTGGTCCCTAAATAATCATTACCAGCTGCATGCAGTCCCTCCCTGTCCCTCTCTCCCCCACAGTCCTAGTCCATTCCAACTATCCTGTGGCCTCAAGTAAGAAAATTTTCTTAACTTTTTCTATTATAATTGTTTCTCTTTTTTTCTAATGGAAGTAGCAGTAATATTATCTCCATGAATATGTATGTATCTATGGAAATATCCTATAAATAGTATTCTATTTCTATCTGGTTAAAAGACTGTGCTTCAAACTGTAAGTCTGAATCCATTAGTAGTCCATGAAATCAGTTTAACAGTTCAAGACCTAGTATATTTTAAAAATGGGATAGAAAAGAAAATAAGAGCAGTGCAGTATCAAGACCAAACATTGTTTCCTGAAATATTGTTTCAGTTAAATACTCTATACTGTGTGTACTGGGTCACAATATAAAATCGTATTTCCTATTGTGAATTGCAGTTTAGAAAAAAGCAAAACTGAAAACCTTGGAAGCCATTGCTGTAGGAGGCGTGGGCCCGCCAGTGATCGTTGGAACATTCGGATTGTGTAGCGTCTGACCTTAGATGGGGCGGGAGACCCACCGCCCAGGGAGTCTGCGGGTGTGAGCACGTCTTTTTCGCGAGAGTGAGAAGACAGGGTAGCTGTTGTTATGGTTTATAAAGTGTTTTCCTTCGCGGCGGGTATCAGGACCCACTAAAATCAGGCATCAGTGGGACCAGAAAAGGCATAGAAAAGTTCAGTTCACAGACAGCACCCAAAAAAGGCCACAGGATAGCATTTAACTTGATGTGTTTCAACCTCTTTCCCACTAAGCATTTTACTAGGATTGGGGACAGAAGTTCTTTTAAGTAAGCTGAGTTTGCTTCATCTGCCTTCTGTCTGAGTCATCACACAGGTAGCTGAGGCTCTTAAAAATGGGGAGCTTATGCACAGGGTATATTCTTGTGGGGCCAAAACATTGATTCACTGGAGGGTGCTATAAAAATGCCAATGCAGTTTAGCTGAAGATCATTTTATTTCCTCATTTCTGTAGGATTCAAGTAGAAATGTAGATAACTTGCATTCCTTATGCAACGTTCAAAACGAAAGATACTAAATCTGATTTTCTTCGGTGCTACCCTGTTATCACTGATAGCTCCCTTACATACTCTCCAGGGAACCGTTCACCCTCCTGCTCAAGCCTTTGAAATGATCCCTTCCCGCTAATGGTAACCTAATCAAATTAATTAGTTAAACTTTTTACGATTCTTGTTTATATTTTTTATAATTGGCCAATACAGCTATGGGCGCAGACTTTCCCCCCACACTTTCCTTTCTGCCACTGCTGGCGTAAAGCAGTACAGGCTTCAGGGCCGTGCTGAAAGCAGGTCAGCCCGTGTGCTGAGAAGATGCTGGAACTTACGTGCGTGTTGCTCGCTCTTGAGTCCGCTCTGACTCCCGGTGACTCTATGAGTGAGTGATGGCCACAGTGTCCTGTCCTCAGCAGCCCTGCTCAGCTCGGGAAGGCTCCCGCCTGGGGCTTCCTGGAGGAGTCAACCCACCTCACATCTGCTCATTTCCTGCTGCCTTTCTTTCCCCAGCATCATCTTTCCAAAGAACCCTGCCTTCTCGTGATGTGCCCAAAGTAGGACAGTCTTACTGTACTACCAACCTCCTTCATGTTTCTTTACTTGAAACCTTTTTTACTTTATTTCCTCCTTTTGTAAAAAAAAAAAAAAAAAAATTATCGTATTTTAAAGTCTTACTTTAGAATTACAGATTAGTTCTTTTTTAAAAGTATTTCATTTAAAAAAATAAATAATTTTGGTTACCCAAAGAGCTACGTGAGAAGTGTAACTTCCACTTTTATAGTCTATATGAGTATACTTAAAATTTTTTTACTATATACAAATACACACTGATTTGCAGTATAGTTTAACGCCTGCTATGATAGACATCTTCCAACCTGAACATCCCTGTCGCTGAACACCATTCATTTAGTATTGCCGATACCTTAGTAATGCGTTTCTCCTGTGGTGTCCTTGTAACAAGAACCCCTGTGAGAGTGGTATAATGTCTAATAATCAGAACTGTACTTAAAATAGAACATGTTGGAAAACCCCAACATTTTTTATTATGTTCTCATACCACCAGCATGCCATTGGCTACCCAAAAGTTACCGACTTAGGGACTGAAAACCATCAAGTGAAAGTGCAGATTACATTGAAATGTTCTCAATGATAATCATTTCATAGCCACCCTCACAAACTGCTAGAAATTGTGTCTGGGGCTTGTTGCAAGGTCAGATAGATTGTCACTTTTAAAAATGATCGTCTCTGTATGTGAATATGTATAGTACATATAAAAATGAATTTTTCAGGGAATGTGCACTTTAAAAATACTTTACTGGTTTTTGTATTGACCAAATAGTGCTTCTTTGGAATGCTTATTCTTTGGTAAAAATATGGCCTTTGATGATAATTAGTTTTTTAAATATCTATTTCTGTATCACTGCAATATTTCTCTACCTTTGTGTTCCTTATCTCTTTAATGTGGGCTCCTGGCCCAGCTGCCTGTTGCATAGCCTCTGCATTGCTTCTGTGTATTCTGATAAGATAATTTATAAACACAAATGTTTAGAGTGAAGTTCTTCCTCCTGAAATTCACTTTAGTCTTTTTCCCCCCCTGAAAATTGGTTGGCTATGCTCACTGATAACTTTTCTAAACAATAATTATTTCTTGCTCTTTATTGGTAGAATTAAATTGCTTGGTCATATGATTGCCCAGTTTAATTATGTATATCTTTTTCAAATAAATTAAGTCAAATAAAGATTTCTGATTTTCAGTTCATCTCTGTTTTTTGTTAACTGGTTGAACTAGAAACATTACCAATAAGCCTTTTCTCGCTTCTCTGAACTACACCCTCTTTGGGGCCCGAGTAAGTGTGGATAACTAACAGATTGCCAAGCTCCTGATTTTTCAGTCAAAGCCAGCCGACAGCATTCCAGGCCATCATGATTGTTGCTGACTAAGAGCTTGAGTGGGAAAACTTGCTAAATTCTTAAGCATCAAGACTGCCTTTCAGTCTCAGAAGACTTCAAATGGCTCAATTCTGCAGTAAGTAATGAATATCTTTTGAAAGAAGGGCTAGGAGAGAATTTTCTACTTGCAGAATTAATATTGACAGAAATCATTAATTCACCTTTGATTGGAGATGTCAGCCTTTTCCTTACTTCAGAAAATACTTCACTAACTTTTGTTATGATTTATCCCACAGCCCTCCTGCAACTAGAAGTGGTTAAAGGCCATCATCTTGTATGTTTTGTCAGCCAAAGCTAAGTTAAAAATAACAATAACTTAATGCTAGAAAGTGCTTTACATTTTTTTAAATCCCACATTTTTTAATTACCCTCATTACTGATTCTCTTGAGCCCTTTTCCTGTTGATTGGAAGATCAGAAGCAGTTCGTGATGGTTAGTGCATGGTGCCCCCCTTCCCAAGGTGGTCTCGCTTCTCGTTTGTTATGTTTCTCGATATCCTTAAGAGCTCCTTCCCTGTCTCTTTGTTCTCTTGTGCAAATTTTTCTGGCTATTTCTGGACCTTTACTATTCCAGATAAAATTCTAACATCAGTTTCTCAGGTTCCACAAAAACTGTTGCTTTTGCATGCATTTCTTGAGTGAAAGTTTATAAAGCTTAATGTCGCCGTGGTAGAATCTCTAGCTGTCAGCATAACCCCTGTCTCCTGTCACTGAGGCTCGTCTTGAACCACTTTGCACTCGGCAGTGTTCCAGCAGGATGGGAGCCGCCTGTCCAACAGGCTGGCAGGGGGCTGAGCACAGCTCCCGGGCGCCGGCCCACTTGCCCAGAGCGCCCAGCCAACCTGGGACAGCTTGTAGGCCGGCTGGAGGTGAGACGTGTCATGCCTTAAGTCCCTACGTGATGCGCGCGCGTGTGTCTGTATATGTGTGCACACCTTCAAGTAAAAAGCAGCAACGAAACCATCTTGGGCCTTGAGCTTGAAGCACTTTCCAGGCGATTCTGCTTCTGCTTCTGCTTTTCTGAGCCAGCTGTTCAGGGGATTCCAAGGTAACGTGATGAACGAGCACAGACCTGCCCTGAAAGGGAAAGTGCAGGGGGGCAGAATACGCCCCCCTAAGCTATGCCTCTTTGGCAGAAGGCTTTCTTGAGCTGATTATTTTTAAGAAACGGCAAGCACGGGAAAAGCCCTGAAAACCCAATAGAAGTTCACCTTTCATAGGGAAATTTACATTTTAAGAGAAACCACATGTGTAAAGGTGTCTGCCTCTCCGTACCTGGAAGAGGGTGACTCTAAGTCACAGGAAACTCTCATCAGTGGAGAAGCTTCCAATAAATCTGCGAAACAACCCTCCCCTCATTTGCTGTGCTTTTCCTGGTAACCTCCTTTAACTGGCCTTTCCTGCCCCCAACATCTTTCTTGTGTCTTTAGCTGAAGAAGGTATTTAAGGGGATGGCTTGGGCCCTTTTGGGGAGTTACCCAATTTTCCTGGGTCTCTCTCGCGTATGCAGGAGGTATGGGTACATATATCTGTACATAACACAGGGATACATGTTATTAAACTTGTTTTTCTCCTGTTAACCTATCTTTTATTACACAGGGGTGGCGTCTCAGTCAGGAACCTGGAAGGGAAGAGAAAAAACCTTTTTCCTCACATACAGTTTGGCAGCTCCTGATGGGACCTGCTGCGATTCCGTTCTTGCTCTGGAGCCTGCTGACAGGATCCTGGAGCACTGAGGGTAAGAATTCTTACCAAAGTCAGCTCTCCCCATCTTGTAGAGCCCAGTGGAGAGAGGATGGAAAGTTCACCTGTCTGTTCCTTTCCATAACTTAGACAAGCAGGAGTAAATATCTGTATGAACTAGTTCCTCGGGTGCAGAGATTCTGGAAAGGATTTTACTGTATTCTTGTTTTCTGTTGACCCCTTTCCTCCCTGAGATGTTTTCTTTTGTCTCTGTCTTTTGTGTCATTTGTCCTGAGGAGGAAAACCATAGGCCAGATGAAATTTTCCTTTTGTCTTTGCCTGTGTCTTAAGAGCTTGGCGTTCTGACCAGCTCAAGAATACTCTCTGGTCTCCGCCAGCCAGAAGATGCAAGTATAGGCTCGTCTCTGGCAGCCAAGTGAATAGGCTGGGAATCTGAGAGACAGCGTGCTAAGCAGCATTCTCTTTGTCCCATAGCGCCAGCTTGCAGGACAGTTTGTCTTATGGGGTCCCGGTCTGTGAGGGGCCTTCCTGTCTCTGGGAGTGAACTTTCAGATCTTGTAAGGACTGCATCTTCTGCACTCTCTTTGGGGATGTCTCATGCCCATGGTTAAGTCATAAAAAGGCTTATTGGTTTGAGTTGATATTGAAAGTAATACACCGTTGAAGATCCTACTTATCAATGGCTAATGATGGATCCTTTAAATTGGAAAATCTTTTATAGTTAAAAAAACTTTTTAGAGAGATCACATTCTAAACATTTGTCTTCCTGGTACCTACGGAATGATCAAATTGGAAAGAGGACATGAAAGAGTGTGGCATCCAGCCTTAGGGACTCACTCAACAAGATGAAATTACAGAGCTCTTTTTACCTACACTTTCAGAAGATCCTAGGAGATTTAGAAAAGAGAAAGATCGGTGGCCATTCACAACCCCACTCACAGGAGCTGTGATTGGCCACTAAGAGGTGTTGATCCCCCCCACGATTGTACTGTAGTTGTCAGATAAGCAGATAGCTTCTAGGGAAACGTCCTCACAGAGGAAGCAGGTGACCAGAGTATCTCCCAGATCCTCCTGCAAATAATCGGGAAATGGGTCAGCTGGGCAATAATAGAGGCTTTCCCTCCTAAAGAGAGTTGGTCCAAGGTTGAATTTATACACTCAAAAAGAGCATTTGAAGGCTTTTCTTGAAGGCTTTATACAGACTCTACAAAGGCATACTGCATTAGACCCTGACATTTCAGAACATAGGAATCTCCCTGATATAAAGAAGCGAATTGAAAATAATGTATTTGGATGGACAGGTCAGCCCCATGATGTTATTCACTCTCACCCAATTGTTTGTGGAATTGGAAACAACTGTATTTGTCTTACAAATCTTTACCAAACCAGAAATGCAGTTCTACAGGCAATACAACATCACCTCTCCTTACCAATCCCCAAAACTCCTCCTCTCTTCATCTCAAAATGCTTGTAGACATTGTAAAAGATTGGGTCATTGCTAACAGAATTGTCCTGCACTTAGGAGGAAAAAATTAAAGAGTAATGACACTAAATATCTGATAAATGGAAACACACCAATACCCCTTGGAGAAAACTTGGATACTTCCTCTCTGCCTTTGAGATGCAAATTTTCTACCCCCATCTTCTTTAGGACCTGAGAGCCATCTCTTTGAAGTGCAAACTTTAAAAAGATGATTCTCATCAGAAGAAAAAAGCTATTTAGAAATTGGGCAAAAGAAAAAAACACACACCTTGTTGTCTACTCCACAAATATTGGTGGAAAAAAGTTTTAGCCATCTGAGTAGGTAAACTTAACTTAGTCCATTAACTTAACACAATTTGGATCTAACCATTCTTTTATAAACTATTGAGTTATGTATTATTATACCTGATTCATGGCTAAAATTTTGTAACAGTAGCCACAAGGTCTCTGTTTGTACGTATATATATATGTCTGTATATGCATGCTGTAGATATGTGAGATTGTTTTACCTCCAGATGGTATGGCAACATTTGGAAAAGAGCTGTATTCATTGGCTTAAAAATGTGCGCTTACGTGAAATAAGTATTTCTAGACTCTCAGAAATATGGAAACTAACTCAAATGTTTTCTAAGTCTACATGATCTGGGGAAACATTCAGTAAATAATAGTTTAAGTTGGTTTAATTAAAATAGACAAGTGTTCAAATTTGTCAGAATTGGATATAATGCAGACACACAACCAGGGTTTATTCATTAAGGAGGTTTGTGTTACCTGTTACAAAATTCATCAGCAAGAAAAATAACAGAATCAAAGAACATATGTTTATAAGCATAACCCACGGACACAGACATTTGTTGGGGAAAGCCTGGGGGTGGGATGGATGTAGGGTGCAGGGGATCAGTGGGGATAAAAAGGGGACATCTGTAATATTCTCAACAATAAAGATAAAGAAACACTAAAAAAAAAAGAAAACAGGATGATGGATCACTTTGTTTAATGGCTCATGAAATTTTCAGGAGTAATCTAAATATGGTTTTTAAGAACAAGTGAATTAAATAGGTGTAAGTGCAATGAACTTTTAAACAATTACGAGGTTTTATAACATGTCCTCTTTAAAATAGCTCCCAAATCTTTTTGATAACTTGAAACCTTAAAATTTTGCTAAGTTAAATAATAGAAATTCATTCACTATTTAGACCATTTTCAAATAAGATAAAGTACTGAAACGTTCATTACTGAATATAGTTTTATCTGCTCTTGGCTTATTACAAAGAAACTAAACATATTTGGGCCTGTTACTGAACGTCTTGTGCTACATTGCAAAGCTGTACTACGAAGAAGCATATGCTTCTAGAAATTATGAAAAGTACTAAGAAACTTGCCAGTCTACTTAATGTTGGTGTGTAGCAGTTCCAAATTGCCTACTTCTTAGTTTTCAATAGAAATTAAGGTTTCAAAGGTTGGGAATTCTAATTATTACATGTAATTAAAACTGTAGAAATCGTAAGGGAAACAGTTCTATGTGCATGGAAAGTAAGATGTGTTTTTAGTTAAGAAAAGGCATGAGGTAGGGAGACGAGTTTGTTACGGGAAAGAGAGTGACTTTGTCCTGAAGTACAACCAGTTGTTTCAAAACTGCAAAGAGGAGAAAAAGTACAAAATAATGGACATAGAAAGCTGGGGCGTGAGAGAGAGAACCTGTGTACCTAAGGCAGCTAAAGTGGACTGAATTTATTATAAGGATTTAAAGATAAGCTTTAATATCCATAGTGTACTTAGATAAAACTGAAACTTAATTTTCTTTCATCTGCGAACAGGGTTTCCGTGGGCTCTTCCTGATAAAAGATTGTGACAGGTTTTTTAATTTGCCTAAGAAAGCAAGGATTTTGTTTTACTAAAATAATCGTGCGCTTCCTGTCATCTTTATCACCAGATCTTTGATTATTTAAGAAAACCAAGTCTTCTCACGATTAAGAGCTAAGTTTTGCTCACAACTGTGTAACTTCCTGGATCTGCCTTTAAAATCTTTTCTTTCACTTTGGTTAAAAAGGTAATTAAGTATTGTTTCATAATGACCTGTGATCCTATTTTGTCAAGTGTCCAAAACTTTTGATATTTTGGGAAAACTTCTGAAAATAAGTCCTTTTGACCTTGAACTAACTTGTAATTTTTCAGAGACCCCCCCCCAGGGCATCTTAAGATTTCTCTCTCCTGTAAAAGAGGTATTAAACTAACTAGGCTTTTGTTATATTACATGGGAAGGAATTGCAAATAAGCAATGCAAAAAAATTTTTAGATATTTGTAGGAAAACGTGTTATTAATATGTGTTTTGGAAATTGTATGAAAGTTCCTGGAAATCTGATATGTCCTAGTATAATAGTTATCACTGTAACTTGAGGTATCTTAAAATGTCACAGAAACAACCAAATGTCCTTGTTGATTGCATTATGATAAACTATCATCAGATCTTTAACCATGACCACTTTTTGTTGTTGTTAATCCTTACCTGGGGATATTTTTCCCTTGATTTTGAGAGAGAGTGAGAGGGAGGGGGAGAGACACAGAGAGAGAAACATCACTGTGATAGACACACATTGATTGGTTGCCTCCAGCATGCACCCGGACCAGGGCCAGGGCTAGAGCCTGCAATGGAGGTCCACGCCCTTGACTAGGAATCGAACCCGTAACCCTTCAGTCCGCAGGCCATTGCTCTAGCCACTGAGCAAAACCAGCTAGGGCTAACCATGACCATTTTATTTTTTATTTTATTTTATTTTAAATATATCTTTATTGATTTCAGAGAGAGGAAAGGAGAGGGAGAGAGAGAGATAGAAACATCAATGATGAGAGAGTCATTGATCGAGCCCGCAGCCCGGGCATGTGCCCTGACCGGGAATCGAACCCCGATCGCCTGGATCCTAGGTTGATGCTCAACCGCTGAGCCACGCCTGGCCGGGCAAACCATGACCATTTTAGTCTTTTGTCATTTATAGAAATTATTGTTTTGCTTTTGCAAAGTGCTTCATCTTCACAGAGATTCATGGGAAGGACTCTGAAAGGACAGGTTCCTGGTAACTTGCAGAGCACACCATTGAACTAAATAAGAATTAACCAAGAAAATTCTAAGGAAAAAGTGGATTCATAAAACCGCTAACAAAAGGTCAAGACTTTATGATCTGGAACTGAATGAAATAACAAGGATGGTTATAATTTTTATAACTTTTTAATATTTTGTTTTTCCAGATTTAAGGAAACTTTTTTCTTTTCTCCTAAACTATCTATGACTTATAGCAATTTGGCAAGTTCACCTTTGTGAACAAGATGAAACAGTGACTCTTCTCCCTGCCTGATTCCTCCAGAATTTGGAAATTCTGAGTATTCTTGTTTTCATGACAACACAGTTATTTGCGTAAGTTCAATAAGAATCTGTTTTCCTTGTAACAGGACACAATTGGAAACACTGGTTTTATTACCAAGACTTTGGAAAGTCACGTTTGAGAATATGCAAAGAATCATGTGTGACCAGTTTTACGGACTTTTAATAAAGCCCCTTGGAAAAGCCACCTGGTACCTTGCTTGTAGGTTTGCTGGCAGCCTTACCAGGTAAGTAAGGAAGGTCACTTTCTGGCAGGTGCAGGAACCTCAGGATATATTGGGGACCTCGAGAAGAGAGGGAGGAAATAACCCAGATGCATAGGTATTGCAGGCAAAGTGTGAGGGCAAGACCTTCCCTTGGCTTCCTAGGCTTGAGAGGCTTTTAAAAAGTCCAACCTGAGATTCCTATGGAAAGTTCCAGCAAAGCAGATTTTTAAATGCCTCTATCTGGTCAATCACTATTCTTGCTGCACTTATGTAAATAATCAGGTCAAGTTTATTGAGACTAGATTTATTTTGCAAACAAATTAATTTTACTATAATTTTCTTCAGTAAAAATGGGGATAAAAATGATGCTTCAGTAGAACTGTAATGCTCCTTGAGGGTGTCTGATTCTAGCCCTGTTAACTGTCTGCGGTTTCCTTTTCTGCCTGAAATCCAACTGGATCTTGAATTCTTCTAGTTTTTTCAAACAATCTGACTACAACTCTTCAAACTAAAGTTTCCAATTTTCCCCCCATTCTTTTGATTCAGAATCACTACAGACAAATTTTATGAAATTCCTAGAAACCTGATATGCCCTGGTATGTTTATCACTTGTAGTTCTCATCTTAAATAATATTTGCTTGTCAGTGGGATTATAATGAACTCCCAGCAAGTCTTTAACCATAGCCACTTTTTAGTCTTTGTCATTCATAGAAGTTACTGTGTTCTTGTAAAAGAGTTTCCCAAAGCCCTGCAAACTGAATGTGGGTAACCTGACATCAGCTTCAGCTAATTGGTCCCAGTAGGTCCTGTTCAGACACTCCTCGTGCCTGTTGTGTGGGCCACTCAGAAAGTTTACAGAATTCCCGGTGACATCAGAGACATTCAAACTGCAAATATGCTTCATCTAGAAGCCTTCTGACTGGCTGCCCTTGGGACTCTGAGTTTATAATTTGCTCCAACCATTAACCTTGGTTTTCTTTGGTTTCCATAGAAATGCCTCTTATTAAATATCTCACTGCTCCCACCATATAGGCCTAACTTTGGGAGCCCACCTGCAACACCACTTCCTAAAATGAGACACAGCCATTGAACTGACCTATTCTCAAGAGACTGGTTCAAGGAAATAATTCAGCTATCGACTCAGCTGCTGGACTGTGAAACTCCTTTAAAGTTTCAAAGGTAAGACTGAAAGGGGGCAGAACACACCACCCCAGAATATGCCGCTTTGGCATAAGGATTTTTTTCAGCTGATCATTGTTTAGAAACAGCAGACACAGGAAAAGCTCTGAAATGTAGAAGTAGTGACCCTTTCATGGGGGAAATTAACATTTATGAGAGAAGTATCCATTTGTAAGGGTGTCTCCCTCTCTATACCTGCAGAAGGATGACTCTAAATTCCAAGAAACTCATCAATGGAGAAGGTGCCAACTTTAATCTGCGAAACCACCTTACCCTTGTTTACTGTGCTTTTCCTGGTAACTTCCCTTAACGGGCCGCCCCCCCCCCCCCC